GTTGTCCATTATTCCCACCCACTTTCAATTTGATGTATCATTACAACCATTGTCTACGGTAATAAGGAATAATCATGATGTAGAAGACATTAAGGTAGTGAACAGTGCAGATGAGGCACTGATACTTGTGTCACAGCCTTTGAGATCAGTTCCTGCCATCTTTTTATTAACAAACAATTTCAGCAACCTATGTAGTTATAAAATTAATTGGGCTGAATCCGAATGATTTGGACCACATAATTATACCATGAAAGATATGTTTAGCAAATGGCAGCTTCAATGGTTATCAAAATACAGAACTTATTTTGGTATTTAAATAGCAGAGAATATTAATGTTATTATCTACCAGAAGATTCTCAGTGGGTGCGTCCACAAGAGACGCTACGTCATCGTAGCGACAAACTATAGTGATGTAGCTCATCAGCACGATGATGTAGTGTTAGCGGGCATGAACCGTGATGCTGCCCCTACTGCGCAGTAGCAACGAGCTACTGCACAGTAACTCATTGGTACTGCGCAGTAGGTTAAAAAACAACCCGTGCAGCATTGGGACTGTGCAGTACCAGCGGCTACTAAATGACTGCTCAGTAATAACTGCGCAGCCGGGTGCACGTGTAGACAAACCCAGTGTTACGTTACAGGATCTGAAGGGTGGAAGAGTTTGGAAATATCCTTGCGAGGATGTTTTAATATTTAAAAATGCATATCTTACATTGTTTAATGTACCTATTACATAACCTACCTGTTTTAATCCCCCGATCCTATTTGCTAAAATCAACCAAATAGTCAACAGATTTCTGTGGGGAGAGGATAAACAGGTACAATTTTCATTTTGAAAAGATACAACCACCAATTGAAATGGTTTTCATCTCCCAAACCTTGGATAATAACATAATGACTTTTTAGTAAGTCAGGCTGTGTATTGGATGACCAGTGTAAACTGATAACTCTCCTATATGGATAGAATTTGAACAGGCACTAATGTTTCATCTTCTCTTATCACCTGTCATAAGCTCTGCTTATCACTATCTTTCTAATTCTCTAATCCCTACAATTTTTGCAACCTGACAAGCTTGGAAAAATTTGGCAAACTTACTGACATTTCATCCTTTGTTACATCATAAGGCATTTATTTAAGGCAATCTCAGTTTTAAGTATGGGTCCCACAAACTGATGTGGAGAACATAGATAGATAAGGGTACTGTATGTGTAGAACAGCTTCTAGTAGGAAATTGTATTAAATCGTTTTCCAAATTATGTGATGAATTTGATTTTCCAAAAACAATTGCATGGCAATATATGTGGTTGCATTAAGTATTAGAAAATCACTTTGGATCTGAGGCTTTAGCTGTACCAATTAGAATACTATAATAATAAAAAAATTAGGGTTGGAAAGGACCTCAGGAGGTCATCTAGTCCAACCACTTGCTCAAAGCAGGACCATCCCCAAATAGATCATCCTAGCCAAGGCTTGGTCTAGCCAGGTCTTAAAAACCTCCAAAGATGGAGATTTCACCACCTCTCTAGGTAATCTGTTCCTGTACTTTACTATCCTCGTGGTGGGAAAGTTTTTAAATATCTAATCTAAACTTCCCTTGCTGCAACTTGAGACCATTGCTCCTTGGTCTTTCATCTGCCAACGTTGAGAAGAGTCTAGCTCCATCCTCTTTGGAAACAACCTCCAGGTAGTTGAAGGCTGCTTTTAAGTCCCCTCTCAGTCTCCTCTTCTATAGACTAAATAAGTCCAGTTCCCTCAGCCTCTCCTAACAAGTCATATGCCCCAGCCCCCTAATCAGTTTTGTTGCCCTGTAAAAGATTCTCTCCAATTTTTTCACATCCTTTCTGTAGTAGGGGGCCCACAGCTTCACACAGTACTCCAAATGTGGCCTCACCAGTGCCAAATAGAGGGGAATAATGACTTCCTTTGATTTGCTGGCAATGTCCCTACTGATGCAATCCAGTATGCTATTAGCCTTCCTCAGAACAAGGGCACACTGTTGGCTTATATTCAAGTTACTATTCACTATAACTCTCAGGTACTTTTCTTCAAAGCTGTTGCTTAGGCAGTCAGTCCCCAGCCTATAACAGTGCATGGGATTATTCTGTCCTAAGTGAAGGATTTTGCATTTTTCCTTGTTGAACCTCATGATATAGCTTTTGGTGCAATCCTTTAATTTGTCACAGTCTCTTTGAATCCTAGTCCTACACCCCAACATATCTACTACCCTCCCAGCTTGCTGTCATCTACAAACTTGCTGAGGGTGCACTCCATCCCATCATCCAGGTCAGTGATGAAAATATTGAACAAAACCAGCCCTAGGGCTGGCCCCTGGGGCACTCCATTTAATACCGGCTGCCAACTAGACACTGAGCCATTGACTATGACCCTCTGAGCCTGATGATCCAGCCAGTTTTCTATCCACCTTTCAGTCCATTCATCCAGCCCGTACTTCCTTAGCTTGCTTGCAAGAATGTTGTGGAAGACCGTATCAAAAGCCTTGCTGAAGTCAAGACATATCACATCCACTGGTCTCCCTGCATCCACAGAACCAGTCATCTCATCATATAAGGCAATCAAGTTGGTTGAGCATGACTTACCCTGGTGAATCCATGTTGACTGTTCCTAATCACCTTCTTCTCCTCCAAGTGCTTTGAAATGGATTTTTTTAGGACATGCTCCATGATTTTTCCAGAGACTGAGAAGAGGCTGACTAGTCCATAGTTCCCTGGATCTTCCTCCTTCCCTTTCTTAAAGATGGGCACTACATGTGTCCTTTTCCATTATTTCAGGACCTCTCCTGATCTCCACGAGTTTTCAAAGATGATACCCAGGAACTCTGCAATCACATCAGCCAACTCCTTGATCACCCTCAGGTGCATCCTGTGTGGCCCTACGGACTTATACACATTCAACTTTTCTAAAAGGTCCCTAACCTGTTCTTTTGCCCCCGGTGGCCATGTCCACATGAGTGTGGTTGTTTGTTTCCCTGGGGACAAGTAGCAGTGACACACCTTGCACTGTTGCTACTTTTCCTTGGGGAAGCCCCCATGCTACACACACTCTGGCGCATGGCAGGTTACCCTGGATGGAGCAGGGGAGGATGGGGCCGGCGGCATTACCTGGGGTCCTGGGGCTGCAGCTGTGTCAGGAAGCCTAGCCAGCAGCCAGAGCATGGCTCCAGCTGGCCAAGCTCTGGATTAGGGTGGCACGTGTTGCCTCCATATGTGTCACCTCATTTTTTTCAGTATGGGTTCTTTATACCCTGGGCTCTCCTGGGGTCAAACCCCCGCCTCCACACTGCAAGGTAGAAGCATGGGGAGTGCCTGCATGTGTGGTGTGTGGCACCACAGACAGGTCTGCAGTGTCATATACTGCACATCCATGCTCATTTGGATGCAGCCGTTGATTGCTCACCTCCTCCCCAAACTGGCTGCTCACCATCTCGCCCCAATACTCCAGATATATTATTTTTTTGCCTTGAAATCTGCTTCTCTTCCCCATTCTGTGCCATCACTCTATGATTATATAATGTCATAAAAGATCTGATACAGACTATTTAACACTGAAGTGAAGACCTTGGTATCCAGATGAGAGAATCCCAGTGGAAATTAGCAGTTCACAATATTTGAACACTGACAATTGATCATACACTTAAACTTATAAAACAAAAGATCCTTTTTTTTATCTGCACTGGGCTCCATCTAAAATCTAAACATTAAATATACTGTCATATTGCCAGTAGGTACATGTTGGAGATGTGATGCATTGCAGGTAATGTTTGATCGCATGTTTAGGTAATGCCTATAAACAGTTACTTTTGGAAAGAAATTACAATGAGAGTTAGCATGGTTTTGAATCCAGCACTGATACCTTTGATGAATATATATATTCTTAGCCATATACCTAGGAAATTCAAAATGAATCCTTCTTAGACAGTAGGTCTTATTAGTGATATACAGAATTATATTACTACTTTGGAAAAATAGGACTTCTCCAAAGGTTGAAATCTGGTATGATGAGATGGTATAGCTTGCATCTGTGAAAAGAGACAAGTACTAGGCTTAACTGCTTCAAAAAGTTTGGTACAACTTGAAAAGAGTTCTTAGAATATTTTGGAATACCTTAGAAAATTATTACACCTTGCACACATTTCATTCCTTCTTCTATCAGTCACTCTTCTCTCCTATTGTATTATTTTTTCTTTCCCCCATTATTACTTGCTGTTTGTAACAGATATGTGCATAGTTAAAGTTGACATGCATAGTTGCTGTACATATATTCTGGGGTGGTGTGTTGCATTTAAGAAATGCAATAATAATAATCAGAATAATCATAACAAATTGGTAGTAGGCCAAGGAGTAATACTTAAACTTATTTTTAATGAATTAAAAACCAATTAAATTTCAAGTCTCCCCCCAAAATATGGATTAAATAATCGTTCAGTAATGACCCCAACTATAAACTCGCTGCAGCATTTGGGCGTAGTATTTATTTATCAGGGAAAAAAAAGTTGAATCATTAGTAAAGTGCTAATGTTGCAAGCAAATTCCCAATTAGAACAAAGAATTGTACATGCAGTCAAAAATGTTAAGTGTGGGGATGCTAAACTCAGGGGATCCATACTAAAGAAGGAAATATGCTAATTGAAGTGAGTGCCAAAAGAGAAAAGGAAAAATGCTTTTCTATCCCCATTTTGGTTTAGAAACAGTTGGCCTAACCAGAACAATCCTACAGGAAGACTTCGAATCTGAAACGTGGAAACAGAGTTCATGACCAACTCGTCTTAGTCCAGGAGTTACATCACTAAGACAAGGCTGACTTGCAAGGGTTCTCCCAGCCCTCCAGAAACAATATGGTTCAAATGTTAATTTCTCTTCCTTTCTGTTTGTACCCATTTGTGTTGTTAACAAAGTAACATTCGAAGGCTGGAGTCGCTGCTATCTTTGTGAATGATTTATGATTTGGAGGCTGGAGATAAGCAATTTTCATGCCAAAAAGGCTTTTCTTTTCTTTTCTTTTCTTTTCTTTTTCGAGAAACAGGCGCGCATTGCTTTGAGGAAAGAAGATTGCCATTAGCAAGCCTCTGTGCTGGTTACTGTAGCAATTTCCCTTTGGCACACTTGCATACTGGAAAAAAGACAAGAACAGGAGGTGAAGATTTCGTGGGCTCAGTTCCATGGAGAAGCCATGAGTGAATTTGGCTTAGAATATGACTGCCTTCCTTACTTGCCTTCCCTTTTAACCTATGCATTCTCCAACCATGGGACTAGTTGTTACTTAGCAAAACCTTACACTGGGAAAAAAAAACCAACAACTGGAAAGAGCAGTTATCAAACACTCAGGAGCAGTTCCGACTCCATCTCAGATATTCACCTGGCCAGGAATGGAAGTATAAATGGGACAGGATTGAAGAGCCATAGCTTTCTCCTCTAAAGTCTATGGAGTTCAGATAGGGAATATGGTTAGAAAATGTTAGCACAAACATCCCCCCACCAATCAGCTCTCATTAACTCCTCCTTTTCTAAGACTGCTATAATCCTTGGCATTAGTGCTCTGGATGGCCATCTGTGAGTGTGCTAGGCTATGTGTGCTCTACATTGCCAGAATATGGATTCACAGTCCCATGGCTTCATGCAACATTCATTTACAGACATTTGGGGGCTAAGCTCAAGGAGGATATGTCTATTATTTACATGATGGCTGGCAGGTTCTTCTCTTTATATAACAACTGCATTTAAATGTATTTAATGATTTGACTCTTTTATTGACCACCCCAAACTCCAAATGTTTTGCTCCAATGAAGAGAAACAATAATTCCTACGTTTTAAAACTGCCCAGCCTGATCAAAAAATCTCACTGCAGTCAATTAACCCGTTCCCCCCCCCCCCCCCCCCCCCCTGCCTTTTCAACGGGTTTCAGATCAGCCTGGATAACAAGAAAAAAACAAGTACCACCCATAAGGGAGTGGGATAAAATGGGACCTTATAAACTTCTTAAAATGTGTATTATTTCATTTGGTGCCTAAAATGATCCCGTATTGTCCAGCCTTTGTAAATCCATTCATAGGCATTGGGTAAATAAAGCTATACTGTATAAATGTCTCACTGATGAGCAGTTATTTATAAGTAATCCAATTTGTAATCAATAGGACAACTTATGTAAGCCAATGCACAATTGAACCCAAAGGCCTTGCCTTTGCATTTTGGTACATACTATGAATTTTATTTTAATATAAATTTTAATTTAAATTTTAATTTTTTTAATACTTTTTAAAGTACATTTTAATAAAATTTTATTTTATTTTGGTACATACTATGAATCTTTTTTTTTTTTTTAAACAATGCCTATTCGTTTTCCAGCTTGTTGGTCAGATTTGCCATGTACCACAACAGTTGCCTGTTAGTATGATTAGGAATAGTACAGTCACTTTCCTTTTGTAGAAAGGAACAAAGGGATGCAAAAGAGTTTGGTTTTTCTCAGTTCAGGATGCATTACTCTCTTCCCCTTGACTGTTTCTTAGATCAAGTGTGATTTTGGCTTGCCAACATGCACTAACAAGGGAACTAAAAGTTTCTGCAATAGCACCTACTTGTGGAAAAATACGTATTATTTACTCAGTAGACTGGAACTTCTCTGTAAACTATGTTGATAATCACTGCTAAAGGTATGTACTTCTAAAATTTCATTGGGAAGTAATTACAAGTCATCTAGCATCATTTGCTATCTCAGCCAATTATTTTTTTCTTCAAAATGCCAGAAATGATTACGGCATAAAATCTATCAAATAGTTCTCTAGCATTATATCTCATTAAAAAAAAAGTCATTCTCAATTTGCATAAGTGCAGAATGGCTTGTTTTGCTATTGTCTAAATTAAAATCGACTGAAGCACCATTCAAAAATTTAGGCAAGTCCAACCGCATCCTGTCTAAGCAACTAATCTCCAGAGCACTTTGTGGCTGAATTCTATAACTCTTAATAACTTAGGGTCTGAAAGACAGGGCTCATTAGAGACTGAAAATGGCACTGCTAAAAAATATCTATTTAAAATTAACAATACTATGCAGTTTGGGAAGGAAGAGATGGGAGTGTCTAGATAAGCATAATAATAGTTTTCATAGAAAGGTGCACTCACAGAGAGTTAATACAGAGATGCCATTAAAATTCAGCATGCATTAAACCTCTACGTTTATTTTGGTCTTCTCAGCGTCCCTTATATCTGGAATACCAAATATGGAGAATTGAACTACTGCAGGCCTAAACCAATGCACAAGTGTGTCTTCCCATTGATTTAATTGTTTCACTGATCAACCGATAGTCTTGCCAGTGCATACTTTGCATAGGCTACAAACCAAAAATGGCAGCCTTTGAAATGATAGTGTTCACTACTAAATAAATATACTGAATACACAAGCAAACATAGTGAAATAAAGTAGTAAGTAATATTGCTAGCATTTGCCTGACACTATTTCTCTCATATCCATCAATGGGAGATGTAGTCAATGGATGAGGAAAATCAGGATGCTGGTGAGATGCTATGTTCCAGTCACCCAAGTCTGACAACTTTGGATTATACACACAATTAACCCTTGGCTTCACCCTGTATTATTTCTATCCCAAAATATGTTGAAGTAGCTTTAAAAATATTGATGGGTGCAAAAGGTCCAATGAGCCAAATGCTATGTGCCAATGGAAATGGTGGGAAGCAATCATTTGACTTATCTATAGCATAGGTTAAAATTTCAGGCAGACCTTTGCACCTAGATTGTTTTTAAATAAAAGCATAGATAGATAGATAGATAGATAGATAGATAGATAGAACCTCAAAAGATCACAAAAAACATACCTGTCTATATCAGATTTTAGTATGTTTAGTTGATTACAAGGACACTGTTAACGGTGTTATTCTTACTCAGCAACGAGATTGAAAAGGAAGAGAGCACACTGGTATTAGGTCAGGGTGCAAAGCTTTCCTGCAGGTCTGAGTCCCACCTGCACTTTCTGATTGGCTACGCTTGCTGTCGGAGTCATTGAGTGCACGGCAGGAGGATTTGGGAATGATTAATTGCCCTGTCTTGTGAGTGGAGAGTTCTGAGCAGCAGGGTTCTCCGTATATGTAAATACAAGTGGTCTCAGCGCTGTAACAGGACCAAATGAAATGAATAAAATGACTTAACAAAAGGACTTGACTTGGAATGTTTAGATTTTGAAGATTAGTTTCTATTATATCCCAGTGGGAGAAAAGAATATGTTGTATGGGAAACTGGATAGGCTTAATGTTCCACAAAACTGAATTATTCCACTTCCAAACCAATGTTTGGCTTAAACTACCAGTGGAATCAGTTCACAGTCAGAAAAAAAACCCCCAAAGAACCAGATGCTTACGTTGATTATAAAATATATTTCTACTGATTCTACTTGTAGTTTATACAACTAGAATTGTACTATAAGGTCAAAAGCACTCCAAATTAAATTATGCTATGGTAAAAGCTCAATTTCCTTCTCATTATTTGCTCAATCTGAGTCAAATGTGCTTATCAACAGATCATTATGTAATGTTATACTGGGATGATAAAAAAAATCACATGTCTGTGTAAATATCTAAGTGTGGGACCTCAATAAGTAAGGATCTGGCATATAAACTTCTGAAAGTATGAAGAACATCCATTTCCACTCTTTCAATGGAAGTTACATGAAATGCAAATGATAGTCTCTCCCATTCCTTTTCCATAAACAAGGATCCGGATTTTCTCCTTTTCTTTATGTTTTATACATTCATTTTGAATCCATTTGATATAATAAAACATTTATGACACAAAAATCAATCTTTCTCAATATTTTCATCGCTTATGTCTAAAGATCATATGTAATTTTCTATATGAAATATTCTTTCTAGTTCTATGATAAAGGATGAGAACAGATGTTTTCAGAAAAGTCATTTTGGAGACTGGGTATTTTTGCAAATTTGAAGAAGATGCTGTCAAAATGATGTTTGCAGAAGCAAACCATGAACTAGTGTGAAGAAAATCAAAGAATCATAGCATTTCAGAAAGAAAACACCTTCTGAACAACTTTCTACTGTTCCAGGTATTTTACATTTGATATTACTAAGTGTCCTGTCCAAAGACTAGCAATAATATATGCATCTAGGAATAATAAAAAAAAATAAGTTTTCTGTCTCTCGTGTGCTTTGAGAATAAATAAACTACACAACTTTGAGACCTGAAATGAAATAAAAAACCCCATGGTGACTGAAGTCTCAGAAAATCAGATAAATAAAATGTGCCACTTAACTCTTATTGTCCCCAATAGCAGTAGGTGAAATTGCATTACAGACTGTGAAATAAAATAATACCGCCCTGTAACAAGCTGGCAACATTTGTCTGAAACATCCCATCCAATTAATGGGCTCTGATCCTTTTAAGGTATGTTAAATGATTTCTGTTGACTTGCTGAATCAGGTGGTTCATTGCCTAACCCGGACGGAAGGGAGTGTTTTTTTCAGGAGACGGAGGAAGAGGGCTGGGTTCTTCTAAAAGAGGAACCTCAAATTGGGGAAAATGTGAGCTGAACAGTAAGCTATTTTTTAAGTGAATCACTGCATGAAAACCATCGTGCTTCAGGTAGGAGGGCAAGCGTGTCGCCATATCCACTAACATTCCAATATTTGGGGTATTGTAAATTTGAGGAAAAAGGAAACCACGGTTTTTCTAACTAGCCCTCTGTACTGGAAATTTTCACTGATTTCCTAAGCGACAGCGTAGTGGGTTAAAAATGCATTCTTGTTTTTTTGCACCTTTTTACAAGTGCACCAGCACCCAGTAAATAAAGTAGCAGCCTGTGTCCCTTTTAGCAAAAGCCATATATCTGTTCAGACTTGTAATTTGCTCCGTTTATATCCTTTGCCCTTGAACTCTGGTTATTAACGCAATGTTTCTCCAAATGATGCCATATAACTCTGCTGCAAGCACATTCATAGTGACACCACACAAACAACCGAGGGGCCATAGCTTGCTGAAAAAGAAAAAAAAAGGCAGGGGGGCAGAAGGGGTGGAAAGCAGCACGAGCTGAATTGCATGAGATGTAGAACATTACCCAGAAGGATACAAGCTATAGAGGAGTAAATATTACCATACTGAAACCTGTACTTGAAACCACACCTATGGGATGACCAATGGTCCTAAAAGACTCCTCAATAATATTCTTAAGCAGCAAGTCACTTAAATTAAAAACGTGCTTCTTTGCTATTAGAAGAGATGCCATGCAGTGTGCTTCCATACAATGCTTTCTGCTGTCACACCGATGAAATCTACCACTCACGACTCTAAAACTATTGATCATGATAAAGGATCGCAGCATGCTGGCTGAAAACAGAAATGAATCTAGAGGGTGGGGAAAAAAAAAGAGAGGGGGACAGTGAGTTAAAAAGGAGATTTCAGGAGAATCGACAGTTGAGTAGGGTAAAGATGAACTATTCAAATGCTCTAGCAATGACAGATTCTCTGTAGAAACACAACGTAGGCATGCTCCGGGCCAAGTATTGACATGTAAAGATATCTGTGTTGGAAGTCTTCATGGATCCTGGACAAAAGCAGTTCTTCTACTTGGCCGTTCTTTCCCCCTTCACAATGTAATGTGTAACCATGAAAACCTCTGCTGCAAAGAGTGAGCTTGGATGCATCTTAATGTTTTAAACTTTGGACCTACAGAAGAAAAGCTTGCGACTCTGGAAACCCACTTTGTACTGGGTCTTTATTAGATATTAAAATGTTACAGCATCAGCTAAGAATCCATTGATCTATATTTGTCTTCCTTTCATCTGTTTTTGTGGCAGGCTGCAGGGCAAAAAGGGCTGTGGACATGGATGTAGCAGAGCGTGGTCCTCTTCTCTTGAGCAGCACCTCACAGAAAGCTAGTGGCAGTCGCATGCTTCCACATTCATCTACGCTCTGCCCTATCTATTTAGATTGCAGGGTCTTCAGAAGAGGATCCCTGAGTGTGTGTCGCCCCTAGCACAGCTGGACCTGGTGACTAGCTTGGATCTGTAAGTAATACAAACAGCAAATAAAGATGAATGGCGTTTATAAACCAAAGTAAATAAGCTACTCAGAAATATCACGTGCAGCTAGAGTGCAGTTGTTTCCATAATTATTACAATACCGCTGATCACTTTAACCAGTGGTTACCAACCTTTTTGCCCAGTGGGCTGGATGAGTAGTGCCCAGTCTGTTTGCAGGCCAGATCTGGCTGGTGGTTCCAATCCAGCACCTGGGGCAGGTGCGGTGTGCACCATCCGGCCCCATGGAGGGGTGTAGGGGCAGGTTGGCCCCAACCCAGCCCTACAGTGGAAAGTAGCTTGACACAGCCCTGTAGGGAGGTAAGAGAGATCCAGAAGAAGGGGGGGAGAGGACATGGATCAGTCCCACAGGGGAAGGGGGTGCACACAGGGCTTGCAAATTTGGCAGTGGGGGGGGGGGTGTCTGTATTTATGCCCACTGCTCCCCCCCTGCCAAATTTCTTGACCTATGGGGTTCCCCACAGGCCAACTGAGAGCACTTTGCAGACCAGAGGTTGGGCACGCCTGTATTAAACCATCACTTTTTGTTGGTATCTTTCTCTAACTTAGGTTTGTCTATATTCAGAAGGCAGCATGGAAAGCATGAGTCTTCATTGCTATTGCCATGAGATTCTGATTAATAAACAAATGCATAGTTTTCTTTTGGGCTTTTTTTAAAAAGCAGATTCAACCTTTACCCCTAAGAAAATTACGTGTATTTGTACACAACTGAAACGTGTCATGTTTGGTGCCTACTTGCTCCTAAGCTGGAAGCAGTGACTACAGCCACATTAGAAGAGTACTGAATCTGGGCCAGGATGCTCTGTGTTTTAGCAAGGACAAGCATTTCAAGATGACACTCCCTTCAGCCAAAAGGAGCCTGCCTTAAGTCAGTGGCAACATTTCCATTGGCTTCCATGAGAATAGATTTGACTCTGGGAAGAGCAGATGAAGGAGTCAAACAAGGCACAGGCCAAACTGCCTAAGAAAGTCAGTGTGACCATGGAAGTCAAAGAACATTATTAAAGAATCAAAACCCCTCCAAATTTAGGGGGGAAAAAAATAAATTTTGCGAGGGAATAAAATCATTTGTTTTTTCCATTTACTTGTTTTCCAGTGAAGTTCAGATAAGCTGCAGATGGGCACCTAAAACAGTGTTGCTCAACCTATTCAGTCCCAAGGGCCAGATAAGTGGCAAGGACCAGACCATGGGCTGGATCCAGAATAGGGTCGGCAAGTGGGGCCACATTATCCAGCCTCCAGAGCTCCCACAGGTCCTGAAATTTGGCAGCACGGGAATTGTGGCAGAATTCATTGCTGTCAAAGCCATGGCAATTAACACATGTTGGGACTTGTGGGAAGACCCACAAGCAGGATGACACACAGATCTACAGACCAGGTCTGGGCTGCAAGTGAGGTTGGCCACCGCTGGTCCAAACTGTTGGATGCTACATAAACAGACATGAA